TTTAGTGTATATATTTTTGATTAGATTTCTTTTTTCTATTTATTTATATATTTAATATTTCTATTATTTTATATTATATATATATTTCTAGTTTTTATATATTTTCTATATATTTTCTATATATTTTCTATTTATTTATATATATTTTTTTTTATTTTGTTTTGATTTTCGATTTTCTATTTTCTAGATAACTATTTATCTAGATATACGAGATCGTAAATACAAAATAGAAGACGAAACAACTTAAACGTTTCTATTGTTAAGTTGGATGCACAATAAATCCTATGGATCTTTAGGATTGGTGTATTCTTTTCTATCTCGTAGGTTCGGATCCTGGGTCGAGCTAAATATCACAACTTTTGTTACCCATCCTGTATATTGCCCTTTCTTTTCGTTTCGTGTTGGAATCGAAACTTATTAGTATTTAAGTAGACGAGATTTTACGAAAAAAGTTCTTCAGATTCCTAGGAGAGAACAACTATTTCGTTTTTCGATGTGAATTTGACACAACAGGGGGTAAACTACTAAAAAAATTAAATAAATTGTTTATTTTTATTAAATTTAAATTTTTTAATAAGAATTAATCAGAATTTATATAATTTTTTGAAGATTTTTTCAATTCTATTATTATAGAATTGAAATAGAAAAGAGTTCCAGCACATATAGTGACATATATAGTGAAACGATACTCTGGGTTCTCAAGAAAAAGAATCGTTTTTTTAATATCCACTCACTCGTTATTAGTTAATAATCCTAGTGATTGGATTTATATGCTTATTGTGATAGGAAATGAAATATTCAAAAGAGATTTTTCATCGAATGACTATTCATCTAGTGTATTTTCATGTAAATAGAGGCAAGAAAACTCTATGGAAAAATGGTGGTTCAATTCGATGTTGTTTAATAGGGAGTTAGAATACAGGTGTGGGCTAAGTAAATCAATGGATAGTTTTGGTCCTATTGAAAATACCAATGTAAGTGAAGACCCAATTCTAACTGATATGGATAAAAACATTCAGAGGTGGGGTGATAGTGACAATTCTAGTTACAGTAATGTTGATTATTTAGTCGGCGTTGGGAACATTCGGAATTTCATCTCTGATGACACTTTTTTAGTTAGGGATAGTAATAGGGACAGTTATTCCATATATTTTGATATTGAAAATCAAATTTTTGAGATTGATAATGATCATTCTTTTCTAAGTGAACTAGAAAGTTTTTTTTATAGTTATAAGAATTTCAGCTATCTGAATAATGTATCTAAGAGTGACGATCCCGACTATGATCATTACATGTATGATACTAAATATAGTTGGAATAATCACATTAATAATTGCATTGACAGTTATCTTCGTTCTCAAATCTGTATTGATGGTTACATTTTAGGTGATAGTGACAAATACAATGACAGTTACATTTATAGTTACATTTGTGGTAAAGGCAGAAATCTTAGTGAAAGAGGGAATTCCAGTATAATAACTCGCACGAATGCTACGAGTGATAGTGATTTAACTAGAAGAGAAAGTTCTAATGATCTAGAGGAAACTAAAAAATACAGACATTTGTGGATTCAATGTGAAAATTGTTATGGATTAAATTATAAGAAAGTTTTGAAATCAAAAATGAATATTTGTGAACACTGTGGATATCATTTGCAAATGAGCAGTTCAGATAGAATCGAACTTTTGATTGATCGAGGTACTTGGAATCCGATGGATGAAGACATGGTTTCGGGGGATCCCATTGAATTTCATTCAGAAGAGGAACCTTATAAAGATCGTATTTATTCTTATCAAAGAAAGACAGGATTAACTGATGCTGTTCAAACAGGCACAGGTCAACTAAATGGTATTCCCGTAGCAATTGGGGTTATGGATTTTCAGTTTATGGGGGGTAGTATGGGATCCGTAGTAGGTGAGAAAATCACCCGTTTGATCGAATATGCTGCCAATCAATTTTTACCTCTTATTCTAGTATGTGCTTCTGGAGGAGCACGTATGCAAGAAGGAAGTTTGAGCTTGATGCAAATGGCTAAAATATCTTCTGCTTTATATGATTATCAAGCAAATAAAAAGTTATTCTATGTCTCGATCCTTACATCTCCTACTACAGGTGGGGTGACGGCTAGTTTTGGTATGTTGGGGGATATCATTATTGCGGAACCCAATGCTTACATTGCATTTGCGGGTAAAAGAGTAATTGAGCAAACATTGAATAAAACAGTACCTGAAGGTTCACAAGCGGCTGAATATTTATTCCATAAGGGCTTATTTGATTCAATCGTACCGCGTAATCCTTTAAAGGGCGTTCTTAGTGAGTTATTTCAGCTCCATGCTTTCTTTCCTTTGACTCCAAATTAAATCAAGTAGAGCTTTAAATTATTCAATTTTTTTATTTTCTTTATTTTTATTAATTAATAAATAAATAATAATTATTAATTCTAATTAATTATTTATTATTATATTATTATTTATTTCTATTATACTATATTCTAATTAGAATATAAATATTCTAATTAGAATATAAATAGAATAGAATCAAAATATAATAAAAATTAGAATCTACTTAGAATATAATTATACTATTCTAAAATGGATTCTAAAATGAAAATATTAATTTATATTAATACTATTTTAATTAATATTATTTATATTAATAAATTAAATAAATTAATTTGTATTAATTTGAATTAGAATATTAATTTGAATTAATATTCTTTTGATTCCATTTTTTTTTTCTACTTAATTAGATTCTTATTTATTATATATACTCATACTCATTTAGATATACTTAGTATAATTCTATATAGAATTCTATTCTATATAGATTTCTATATGAAAATCTACTTGGTATAAGTATATATGAATTCTAGTGATTATAAAATCTCTTTATAACAATATCAAAATAGAAAAATAACAGGTAAAAATCTTAATAGAACAATAACAAAAAAACTAAAAAAATAACAGGTACAAATATTAAATCGAGGTACCCATTCTATGACAACTCTCAGCAACTTACCCTCTATTTTTGTGCCTTTAGTGGGCCTAGTATTTCCGGCAATTGCAATGGCTTCTTTATTTCTCCATGTTCAAAAAAACAAGATTTTTTAGATACGGGCAGCAGTAGGGACAAATCTCATCTATTTTTTTTAGATCTAGAAGCAATTCGATGAATTACTCCGAAAGGTTTACATAAAAATAGTGCTAGTTGATGAGAGTTACTTCGCAAACAAGGAAAAGTAAAATCAAATTCATTTGGTTGGGTTATTTTCCCAATTCCAAAAAAAAAATACAACTGGATCTAATATGGGTTGGCGATCAGAACGTATATGGATAGAACTTATAACGGGGTCTCGAAAAACAAGTAATTTCTGCTGGGCCGTTATCCTTTTTTTAGGTTCATTAGGGTTCTTATTGGTTGGAACTTCGAGTTATCTTGGTAGAAATTTGCTATCTTTATTTCCGTCTCAGCAAATTCTTTTTTTTCCGCAAGGGATCGTGATGTCTTTCTATGGAATCGCTGGTCTCTTTATTAGCTCTTATTTGTGGTGTACAATTTCGTGGAATGTAGGTAGTGGTTATGATCGATTCGATAGAAAAGAGGGAATAGTGTGTATTTTTCGTTGGGGATTTCCTGGAAAAAATCGTCGTATCTTTCTCCGATTCCTTATGAAAGACATTCAGTCCATCAGAATAGAAGTTAAAGAGGGTATTTATACTCGTCGTGTCCTTTATATGGAAATCAGAGGACAGGGGGTCATTCCCTTGACTCGTACTGATGAGAATTTGACTCCACGAGAAATTGAACAAAAAGCGGCGGAATTGGCCTATTTCTTGCGTGTACCAATTGAAGTATTTTGAAAAAAAAAAAATGAACTGAAAAATGAATGCTTTCTTAAAAAAAAAAAAAAAACGGAAAAAATTCTTGAATTTTTTTTTGGAAATATTTGATATTTTTAATTTTGTTTGATAGAAAGAAAGGGTGTTTTTTCGTTTCGAAATCCAACTAATATTCATTACTTGAAGTCCTCTTTCATGCATTCATCGAAAGGGGCAATTGCTTCGAATTTTAGCAATTGATATCTTTGGAAACAATATTTTTTTCTTCATTCGAATTGGAAGCAGACTCTTTCTTTTTCTTATTCTATTTGTGTATTCTTTCTAAATTCAAGAACTAACTCCCGAATTGCAAATAAAAAAAAAACGTGAGAATAGATTTATAGGCTCTATGACTTGTAATAGAACTTATGCTTGATAGAAATATTCTTATCATATAGAGTTGACGAATGAGGTGAAGCTGACTTCATTAAAGACGAAAAATGGCAAAAAAGAAAGCATTCATTCCCCTTCTATATCTTACATCTATAGTCTTTTTGCCCTGGTGGATCTCTTTCTCATTTAAGAAAAATATGGAATCTTGGGTTACTAATTGGTCAAATACTAGGCAATCCGAAATTTTCTTGAATGATATTCAAGAAAAGAGTATTCTAAAAAAATTCATAGAATTAGAGGAACTGTTACTCTTGGATGAAATGATAAAGGAATACCCGGAAACACGTCTACAAAACCTTCGTATCGGAATCTACAAAGAAACGATCCAATTGATCAAGACGTACAACGAAGATCGTATGAATACGATTTTGCACTTCTCGACAAATATAATCTGTTTCGTTATTTTAAGTGGTTATTCTATTCTAGGTAATCAAGAACTTATTATTCTTAACTCTTGGGTTCAAGAATTCCTATATAACTTAAGCGACACAATAAAAGCTTTTTCTATTCTTTTATTAACTGATTTATGTATAGGATTCCATTCGACCCATGGTTGGGAACTAATGATTGGTTCTGTCTATAAAGATTTTGGATTTGCTCATAATGATCAAATTATATCCGGTCTTGTTTCCACTTTTCCAGTCATTCTAGATACAATTTTGAAATATTGGATTTTCCGTTATTTAAATCGTGTATCTCCGTCACTTGTAGTGATTTATCATTCAATGAATGACTGAAAAAAGGATCCACTGATCCAATTATAAAGTTTGTTATTTTGTACAAAAGCTAACCATTCAAAAATTGACTTATTCTTTTCTTTTTCTTTCTACTCATCCAGGGGATTCCTCCTATATTCCAGTAAAATTCTTTCAGTACATAGCAGAATCATGGATAGGGAACTGTACCAGTGACCAACCTAATTTTATTGTAGAACTTTTCAGGATCAATGATTGGACCATGCAAACTAGAAATTACTGTTCTTGGATAAAGGAAGAGATTACTCGATCAATTTCCGTATCGCTCATGATATATATAATAACTCGAGCACCTATTTCAAATGCATATCCCATTTTTGCGCAGCAGGGTTATGAAAATCCGCGAGAAGCAACTGGCCGTATTGTATGTGCCAATTGCCATTTAGCTAATAAGCCCGTGGATATCGAAGTTCCACAAGCGGTACTTCCTGATACTGTATTTGAAGCAGTTGTTCGAATTCCTTATGATATGCAAGTGAAACAAGTTCTTGCTAATGGTAAAAAGGGGGCTTTGAATGTCGGGGCTGTTCTTATTTTACCGGAGGGGTTTGAATTGGCTCCCCCTGATCGTATTTCGCCTGAGATAAAAGAAAAGATAGGTAATCTGTCTTTTCAAAGCTATCGTCCCACTAAAAAAAGTATTCTTGTGGTAGGCCCTGTTCCTGGTCAGAAATATAATGAAATCACCTTTCCTATTCTTTCCCCCGATCCCGCTACTAAGAAGGATGTTCACTTCTTAAAATATCCAATATACGTAGGCGGGAACAGGGGAAGGGGGCAGATTTATCCCGACGGGAGCAAGAGTAATAATAATGTTTATAATGCTACAGCAGCAGGTATAGTAAACAAAATCATACGAAAAGAAAAGGGGGGATATGAAATAACTATAGTAGATGCATCGGATGGCCGCGAAGTGATTGATATTATACCTCCAGGACCAGAACTTCTTGTTTCAGAGGGTGAATCTATCAAACTTGATCAACCATTAACGAGTAATCCCAATGTGGGTGGATTTGGTCAGGGGGATGCGGAAATAGTACTTCAAGATCCGTTACGTGTCCAAGGTCTCTTGTTCTTCGTGGCATCTGTTATTTTGGCACAAATCTTTTTGGTTCTTAAAAAGAAACAGTTTGAGAAGGTTCAATTATCTGAAATGAATTTCTAGGTCCGCGGATTTATCAACATATTAAGTTCGTAAAAATAACGAAATCTTTTTGTTGATAATTATGTAATTCTGTATAATCAAAAGATTATGAAAAGCCCCTTGCTTGTTTCTATTCTTTTTCTACCATATTTAGAGAATTCACCGCAGTACTAGTCAGTCATAGTATGTATATTGTGAAGAAGACTATTTACCTATTTTTTGTTTCTTTTTTTTTTCACCCCCAAGAAATTGGAGCACTATAATTATGTCACCGTTTTCGGACTTCAATGTCATAGAATATAAATATATTCAATTAATAGTTTTAATAGTTTTTGTTTTTCTATTTGACTATAAGAAAATTCAACTCGATACTTAAGATAAATAGGCGGAGAATATTAAGCACAGTATAAATAGAAATTGGAAAAACGGGATTCTAGGAGGGATTATTTGTCTTCCTAGAACCGTTCCTTCTTGTTTGTGTCGAAATATTCTCCCAAATATTAATATAATAATGCCTATTGATCTCTTTCGTCAAAGAATCCTATTCCTTATTCTTAGTTTCTATTTTTTTTTCTATTTTTTCCGAGTTTTTATTAGAACCTTTATGACATATAATATCTTTTTTATTTATTGCATATAACATATAAGCATATAACATATAAGAAGTAGTAGAGTAGTCGACAAACAAAAAAGAGAGGGAATTTTATTGAACAAATAAAATAGGATTTCTTCGAAAAATATTATATACTCCAATTTCAAATAAGATTCTTTTAGCATAGAAAGGGTTCGCTTCGCATGATATGTGATCAAAATATATAGAAAAAAAAATAGAAATATAATAAAATTATAAAATATAATAAAATTCTATTCTATTATAAATAGAATTTATAAATATAATTAAGAATTCTAAATTTTCAATAGAATTAATATATTACTATTACAATTTATTTACAATTTATTACAATACAATATATTTATTACATTTTCTATTTTTTATTTATTTTTATATTTATTTATTTTTATTTGTTTTGTGTTTGTGCCGCGGAAATCAAGTGATTCCTTCTTTGTTTTCCTTTCGTTTTCTTTATTTTAACTTTGAAAGTATTGACAGCGAGGAAGAGATGTTTTGAATCAATTAATGAAATTTATTTTTCAAAAATATCATCAGAAAAAAAATGAAATGGAGTTTTTTGAAACATCGGAAAAAGTTTTCTATTTTGTCATTTATACGAATAAAAAATCTTATGATTATTAAGAACTCAACAGGACCCCCTCTCGGCAAAGCAAAGAAAGAGGGGGTCCTGTTGAGTTCTTACGCTTTCATTTCAAAAATTCAGTTCAGCCGATTACTACAGGGATGAACCCAATCCGGAATATGAACCATAAAAGAAAATACCAATTAAACCGATCACAGGAATACCAGTTACAGTACCTATTATCCAAAGAGGAATCCTTCCAGTAGTATCAGCCATTTATCCCACTTTCCTCCACATTTCATCAAGTAGTCATGCTAGAGACATAAACAGTCATAGATAATTATGAAATTATATCCTTCCGAATGGGATAAGAGAATTCCTAATATATATTTACTATTCCCTTAATTGAAGAAATAATTGGAAAATAAAACAGCAAGTACAAAAATGAGTAATAACCCCCAGTAGAGACTGGTACGATTCAATTCAACATTTTGTTCGTTTGGGTTTGATTGTGTCATAGCTCTATAATTCGGATTAGGTTTATCGTTGGATGAACTGCATTGCTGATATTGACCCCAAAAAAGAAACGGTGGGTACCGCTAGTCCGTGAACAGCCAACCATCGTACTGTAAAAATAGGATAGGTTCTATCTATGGTCATTGGGGCCTCCTAAAAAGATCTACTAAATTCATCGAGTTGTTCCAAAGGATCAAAACGGCCAGTTATTAATGGAATTCCTTGTCGGCTCTCTGTAAAATACTCGTTGGGACGAGGGCTTCCAAATACATCGTAAGCTAAACCCGTGCTGACAAATAACCAACCCGCAATGAATAGGGAGGGTATAGTAATGCTATGAATAACCCAGTATCGAATACTGGTAATAATATCAGCAAAAGAACGTTCTCCTGTGCTTCCAGACATGTCGAGCTCCACATATTCTTGTACAGTCAAAGGGGGATCGATTCCATAAAAGATGAGATCAGTAAGTAGAAATTTACTGAAATTCCATCTTTGTTAGATCGTCAATATTGTACCAAGGGTGTCTTTAGAGTATACCGAATCAGTATAGCTATCCTTCTTCTGACACAGCAACGCAATTTCACAATCAGTAGCGAGATATCAAGTATTAGATAATTTTTTTTCTTCTTTTTTTGTTGCTTGTCGCGATGTACTCAATAGAAAATTCCTCCATTTTTTATAGTATAAGATGAGGGTTTTCTACATTATTAGCTTCGGACTAGAAACTGAGGATCAAATAAAATGTGAATCTGACGGATTTTTTTCTAAAAATTCATGGAGGAGATTATCATATTTCTACAATTCAATTAGATGCGAAATCTAGAAATATACTTTTTGTGGTTGTAGAAGATGTTTTTTGTTGGAACCCCCTCTTTTTTTTTATTAAAAAAAAATGGGTTAGTTGTCCAATAAAAAGTAACAATAATAGCAGTAATAGATAGTATTTAATGACAGAAAAATAACAAATAATTCCATTTTTTTTTTAAGAAGATCAATATTCGCGGCACGCGCATTGTTGTTCTTGTATTACACTCAAAAGGCTCCTTCTTGCCTTAATTACTTAATTACAATTACAAGGATAGAGCTTTATTTTATATTAAAATAAGGAAAGAGAAGAGAAAAAAATGTAGAACCCTAGTTTCGAGCGATTTGATACCTTTTTTCTTCTCGTTGGAGATATTATGAAAATGGAACCTACTACAAAATCCAATGAATTAAAATCATTGTAAAAAAGTCAAGTAACGGGCATTAGAAGGTCACTGTTCTTTTGGTCTAAAAAAAATGGATTAGATACAATCCAAATTAATAAATAAAAAATAAAAAAAAGGATCAAAATAGATATTTTTCCGATTTGATTCTATATTAATTCAAAGAAAAAGAGAGTTTTCCCTTTTTGAATTGAATGAAATTACACAACAAAGTTCTTATTCTTATAATATTAATATAAATAGAATTTTATATAATTTTTTTATTATATTAGTTTACTCAACTCAAGAGTTGTTCAATGAATCTGTTGATTTGGAATCACAGGACGTGTAGATGTCACAGATGATGAATGGATTTCTTACCTATGTCACTATATTTTTGTTCGTCTATAATGATTGATTGATGAATCAAAAACTTTCAATTGGATTTTTCAAGTGTTTGTTTATCTTCCTATCTTTCTAATGGAAACTTAGGGAAGTGCTTTTTAAACATATGTATAAAAAGAACATATTTCATTTAGCCTCTTCATGCCCACTATAACTAGTTATTTCGGTTTTCTACTAGCAGCTTTAACTATAACTTCATCTCTATTTATCGGTCTGAGCAAGATACGACTTATTTGATTTGAGATTATGAAATTAATTGAATGAACAATTCATAAAAATCAATCTTTCTGGGATATTCAATATATTCTATAGTTCCTTACCGTGTCAATTTCCAATTCTTGGTCATTGAGATTCATGGGCAGGGCAATACAGATTAATATTTAAGGATATATATTACCTCCCCCTTTCCTTTCTCCTTTCAAACAAATAAAAATGATTGAAGTTTTTCTATTTGGAATCGTGTTAGGTCTAATTCCTATTACTTTGGCTGGATTATTCGTAACTGCATATTTACAATACCGACGTGGTGATCAGTTGGACCTTTGATTAATTAACATTTTTTTTTATTGACCTCCTATTTTCTTTGTTTTAATCCTAATCCACAGGAGGTAAAATTAAGACTTTAAACTGCTGTTCCATTATTTCAGTGTCATTCTCGATCTAACAAGAATGGAATCACGCTCTGTAGGATTTGAACCTACGACATCGGGTTTTGGAGACCCGCGTTCTACCGAACTGAACTAAGAGCGCTTTATTTTCATAAAAGAATTTTATGTGACCCCAATTCATCTTGCATGCATATACTATCATAATCTATATATATATAGAACTCTCATCATATATATTGATAGAATATCCATCTATTTCTATTGAGTATGTATATGTATGTCTACTTTTTTAATCGGTCTCAATTGATCCCTTGTTACTGCTCATAAGATAAGTAATAGTTAGGGATAGGGATGACAGGATTTGAACCCGTGACATTTTGTACCCAAAACAAACGCGCTACCAAGCTGCGCTACATCCCTTTCAATTCGTTTACAGTGCCATTGTAAAGAATCTTTGTCTTGTTTTCCATATCTTGATTTTCTCGGTTGATATATATAAATTATCCTGCCATTTTTTTCTTTTTAGTTTCATATCGTATAACATATATTATAATAATAAAAAAAAAAGACTTATATACATCTGAAATACGCCTAACAAAAAAATGAATATTTTTAGGGAATGCTCGGGCAGAGAAGAAATGGACCTCTTTTTTTTGTTAACAAAAAGAATATCTAATGAATCGTTATACATTTCAATTTGAATTAAGAATTTTGTGTACAAATACAAGTCGTTATTAATTAAATAACCATCCGATCATAGATGTAATTATGTATTACAAATTACAATAAAGAATAAGAATTAAGAATAAAGAAGGAGGATTTTAAATGCGAGATCTAAAAACATATCTCTCCGTGGCACCAGTGGTAAGTACTCTATGGTTCGGTGCTTTAGCAGGTCTCTTGATAGAGATCAATCGTTTATTCCCGGATGCATTGATATTCCCCTTTTTTTCATTCTAGTTATTGACACGGGAAGGGGTGAAGAAGATTAGAGATACAATCAAATATCTGTGATTAATCCCCCCTTCTCCCTCTTTTTTCTTTTTTTTTTTTTAGAAGTTAGAAAAGAGAAAGAATAAAGTTGGATTCGGCCTCAGTGAAACTCGGAATTTGGTCCAGGCTTGAATTGAATTTAATTAATAAGAAATTCAAAAATTCAATTAATAATCAATTCCATTTCTATTACTCTATTAAATATTAAATAATAGGGTGAGACCAGAAATAGAAATGGAATGGGTAAGGCGGGGCAAGAATATCATACAGGATACTTAAATGAAAATAGAAATACTGTACTGTGCTGTGATTCTAAATATAGTTAGAAATCATTGTATTACTTAATTATTACTATACTTATAATTACTATACTTATACTATATTGACTATATTGATTATTGATTGGAACGAGATCCTTCATAATTGGATTTCGAGTTAGCAACTTCTATTATTTTATTTTTCGTTCCTTTTCGCTTCGAATCGTAAAATAGAAGAGTTAAGTGAATCAAAAACACAAAGGAGGTTCATGGCCAAAGGTAAAGATATCCGAATAGGGGTTATTTTGGAATGTACCAGTTGTGTTCGAAACAATGTTAATAAGAAATCAACGGGTATTTCCAGATATATTACTCAAAAGAATCGACACAATACGCCTAGTCGATTGGAGTTGAGAAAATTCTGTCCCTGTTGTTGCAAACATACGATTCACGGGGAGATAAAGAAATAGATAAAATTGATCACTTGTGTATCACCCCTCGAAGGAACATGAAAAATTATATATTTTTTTGTTCTAAATTCTAGAAGAGATTGTATATATATAACATAGAATTCGAAATTGTATATATAACATATATTTAATATAACATATATTTATTATTTAATAGAACATCTATTTATAGATTATATATATTTATTTAATATATTTATTATTTTATATATATATATTTAAATATATTTAAAAACATTATTAAATTCTAAATTCAAAATTTAAAAATATAAGAATAAAAAAATAGAAACAAAGCAAATCCTATTTTGTAAGAAATAGGATTTTCGGGATAAGGAATAAACAAACTATGGATAAATCTAAGCGACTCTTTCTTAAATCCAAGCGATCTTTTCGTAGACGTTTGCCCCCGATCCAATCGGGGGATCGAATTGATTATAAAAACATGAGTTTAATTAGTCGATTTATTAGTGAACAGGGAAAAATATTATCTAGACGGGTGAATAGATTGACCTTAAAACAACAACGATTAATTACGATTGCTATAAAACAAGCGCGTATTTTATCTTTGTTACCTTTTCTTAATAATGAAAAACAATTTGAAAAAAGCGAGTCGGCCGCTAGAACTACAGGTCTTAAAACAAAAAAAAAAAAATAGGATTACTCTTCAATTGAATTCAAATTCCAATCGAAACTCAAATCAAATGTGGATTGATGTTTTGTTTTGTTCGAAAACTACGACAATCCAATTTTGATTATCGTGTTGTATGTAAGAAAAAAGGGAATCGGTGAAGAAGAATAAATCTTTTTTTATTGAACGTGGTTGCTCATTTTGACGACTTTATCATATGATTCTATTTTATCATACAAATCTCTACCCTACCTTCCCGGAGTTCTGTCTCCGGGGAATTTTTATTTTATGATCTCATTGGAAATCATATAAAGACAATTCTTATTTAATATAGCTATTTGTGAAAGTATTTTACGATTAAGAAGCAACTGCCTCTTGTACAGATTATACATTAATCTACTATAACTATAGTATACCTTTTCTTGATTCTCGCGAATTACTGCATTTATTCGACTGATCCACAAACGACGAAAATCTCTTTTTTTCCTATCTCTATCCCGATGAGCCGAAACCAAAGCTTTTATTTTCTGTTGAGTAATAGTTCGAGTAAGTCTTGAATGAGCCCCTCGAAAACTTGATGTAAATAAACGAATTTTTGTCCTACGTTTCCGAGCTATATATCCTCGTTTAATTCTGGTCATTGAATAAATCAAACTTTGATGAATAACTATTTGATTTCTTTTCTTTCAGTTATTCTTTTCCCTTTACTAGTGTATTAATAATAAAAACGGATTTTTCCAATGTATAAAATAAAAGATTCCAATGGCTTTTGCTACTATAACCTTCCCAACCACGATTTTTTCTTTTTATTTCTAAGCATTTAACCTCGAAATAAGAAATTTTTTGATACTAGGTATCAAAAAAGCATATTCAATTAAATAGAAATGGATAAAGAAATAGTGGATTCCATCGTTTCTATGGTTACTTCTTAAACGGCGAGGTCCTCTCTATACACCGGAGCCCCTTCTCTCCTTTAATCAATGCTATTGTTAACTTGTACAGTTCACACTCTTTGGCTCTACCCATGAAATAACTAGTAAAAAGTCTTTCACAACGAGATCTAACTATACAGTAACGGTATTTAAGTATGAAGATTAGCTGGGGAGCTGACCCTCTTAGTCCGTTCTTGCAAGAATAAGGGCATAATCTTTCGGCTTTTTAATTTTGAAATAGAATCTCCCCTGCTTAATGGATAAGCATTTGCTACCAATGGGGAAGTCTTTCTCATCTGAAATTGCAAATTGAGGTGATTGGATTTGCACCAACGGAAACCATAAATTTGATACACAATACAAAGGATATATATTATTATTAATTATTTATTATTAATAGATTCTTTTTTTTTAAGTTTAAGATAGTGAATGGAGTTTTTCCATTCGATCCTAACCGATCACTGATACCGGAATAATTTGTTTCCTCTGTTTTGTCTTAGTCCATGATCGGAACGAGTCGCACATACACCCTAGTACATGTTCCTCGGCGCTGAGGGCATCCCCGAAGGGCGGGGGATTTCGTGACATTTCGGATTGGCTGTCTTGTGTTTCTAATAAGTTGTTTAATAGTTGGCATGTTGAATCATATATATAATGAGCTGGTTTAGATCAATCCTAACCCGATGATTATGAATTACTTATATTCTAGATTAATAGATTATAGATTAATTAATTATTAATAGAATAGATTAATTAATAGAGATATTATATTAAATCCGGCAAGCGGTAAGAAGAAAAAATCTCAAATTGTGTATTTGCGCGGAATCCCTGCTAATTTTTTATTCAACCGCTACAAGATCAACAATTCCATGAGCTTGGGCTTCTGCTGCTGACATAAAAACATCCCTTTCCATGTCTTCGGATACAACCCATAAAGGTTTGCCCGTTCTTTGTACATAAACCCTTGTGATAGTTTCGCGCAGTTTCAGTAGTTCTTCCGCTTCCAGGATAAATTCTCCCGTTTGTGCCTCATAAAAAGAACTTGCGGGTTGATGGATCATTACCCTGACGATATAACATAATAAAAGGTTCCTCTATCTCGTACGATAAGGCGAGAGATAAAGAATAATAAAAAACAAAGATTGAACAACCGTACAGGCATCTTTTGCGTATTGCATACGGCTCTACTATGGAATTGGTTTTTACCTTCCATCGAAGAAAGAAAAAAAAATGGAGAGGGTCTATCAGACCTAGATCGGTAAATGATCCAATAACCACCCTTCCTTTTTTTGTTTTGGAATAGTTAAAAAATACTATGATGGTTCCGTTGCTTTATTATTTGGTCTGTTATTCAGCAATCCCAAAGTTTCTTTTTTTTTTTTTTCAAATCAAATGTTATATAGTTATGTTATATAGTTATATTATATAGTTATATAAGTAACAAAATCTTATTCTTTCATAACATAAAGATTGTTAAAAGCTTTCCGGTGTAAAAACAAAAGAGTTTGTGACGCTGAAATAGGCTCCTGATAGATCAGATAAAATCGGAAATACCCATTTTCTCATACCACTCTTTCGATACATAATCGCATGGTTTTGAAAGATTTTCGCATATCGAATTCGAAGTGCCATGCTATTATTGCTTAATATTCATATGGCGAAGGCATAGTCTTCTTTTTTTTTCTCAAATAAAAGACTCATTGGCGCCAAGCGTGAGGGAATGCTAGACGTTTAGTAATTTCTCCTCCTGCGAGAATAAAAGATCCCATTGAAGCGGCTAATCCCATGCATACGGTCTGTACATCTGGTTGCACAAATTGCATAGTATCATAAATAGCTATTCCGGGTATTATCCATCCGCCTGGAGAATTTATAAACAAATACAAATCTTTGGTATCATCTTCTATACTGAGATATACCATAAGGCCAATAAGTTGATTCGATATCGCACTATCAATCCCTTGGCCTAAAAAGAGTAGTCTTTCTCGATAAAGTCGGTTGATTAGGATAAGATTTTATCCCTTAGGAGCCGTACATGCACCTTTTGATGCATACGGTTCACCAAAAATCGCGAAAAAGAATCAATGTGTAGATTTCAACCCTCTTTCTTTTTTCATAGCAGACTTTTTCGAACTTCTAACGAAAGGTCTTTTTCTTACATTTTTCAAGAAAGACGACTTTTGACCCATTTATCTATATTAATTTATATTAATATTATTCTATATTAATAATTATAAAAATAAAAATTCTACAAAAAAATACTAAACACTTATTGAACTAACTTCTCATTGATCTATTGTTTTCATCGAGATCGAATCCAAATCGCGATGTAATTTTCTTGTTTTTGATTGGGCTTCTTCAATTCAATTCTTTTAGGTTTCTGTTCTACTCCGAGTAAAGATCTACCCGATTTGGATTTGCACATATAGCACAAATACTCCAATACCACGTCTTTTTGCTACGATTTCTTTTCTTCAATTTATTTCATGTTTTCCAGCAAATACAAATATATGATAGAAGTAGTAATCGTAGATATATTACCACTTGGTTTTTTTTTTAAACAGAGCCTGGATGCTTCATTTTATTGGTCCAACCAAGCAAACCATAAATTATTGTAAATTTCTAATATTAATCTGGATATCCCCCCAAAAAAAGATCTAATTACATACTTCACGCTCCAAATTTTTGCCGATTCAATCAATCTTTTTTGGGGTGAAAGAGAGGATATCTCGATCGGGGGAGAGAACGGGGAAATCCCATATGACCCAATATATCTGACAAGTCGCACTATACGTCAACCCAAGATGCATCTTCCTCTCCAGGACTTCGAAAGGGTACTTTTGGAACACCAATAGGCATTAAATAAAAAAAGAATTGAATTAAGTAGTATATCTCGCTTTGATGCGGAAACGTAACAATGGGTTTATTGTCTTAATAATGATTGGTCTTTATCATATTTTATTTATAGATTGAATATAGATTGAATAAATTCGTAAAAAAAAATCCTAAATACAAAAGGAAGACCGAGTGACTAAAGGAAAATTCTTACGAATAGGTTCTTCTGGTTCTTTGAGTGCTGAACAAATATGTCTGCATTCACTGATATAAAGATATAAACACTCATATAAAATACGGTCAACCCCCCTCTCCACCATTGCGTATTGTTACTTATCGGGTATAGAATAGATCTGCTTCTTTTGTTCCTACGAATAGAATTCTTCCGTTATTACTAAAAAACTAGAACAAATATTAATCCTTTACCCGAGATAATCCACTAAAAAGAGACGGTCCATAGTATAGTTTTTTACAGTGCAATAAAGTTACATAGTGTCCATTTTTTGTTGATATAAGAGGTATTTTCATGGGTTTGCCTTGGTATCGTGTTCATACCGTCGTATTAAATGATCCCGGCCGTTTACTTTCTGTCCATATAATGCATACAGCTCTGGTTGCTGGTTGGGCCGGTTCGATGGCTCTATATGAATTAGCCGTTTTTGATCCCTCTGACCCTGTTCTTGACCCAATGTGGAGACAAGGTATGTTTGTTATACCCTTCATGACTCGTTTAGGAATAACCAATTCATGGGGTGGTTGGAGTATCACAGGAGGGACTATAACGAATCCTGGTATTTGGAGTTACGAAGGTGTGGCCGGGGCACATATTGTGTTTTCCGGCTTGTGCTTTTTGGCGGCTATCTGGCATTGGGTATATTGGGATCTAGAAATCTTTTGTGATGAACGTACAGGAAAACCTTCTTTGGATTTGCCTAAAATTTTTGGAATTCATTTATTTCTTTCAGGGGTGGCTTGTTTTGGTTTTGGCGCATTTCATGTAACAGGATTGTATGGTCCTGGAATATGGGTGTCCGATCCTTATGGACTAACCGGAAGGGTACAATCCGTAAATCCCGCATGGGGTGTGGAAGGTTTTGATCCTTTTGTTCCAGGGGGAATAGCCTCTCATCATATTGCAGCAGGGACATTGGGCATATTAGCGGGCCTTTTCCATCTTAGTGTCCGTCCACCCCAACGTCTGTACAAAGGATTGCGTATGGGAAATATTGAAACCGTCCTTTCCAGTAGTATCGCTGCTGTCTTTTTTGCAGCTTTTGTTGTTGCTGGAACTATGTGGTATGGTTCAGCAACTACGCCGATTGAATTATTTGGTCCCACTCGTTATCAATGGGATCAGGGATACTTCCAGCAAGAAATATATCGAAGAGTTGGTGCTGGGCTAGCCGAAAATCAAAGTTTATCAGAAGCTTGGTCTAAAATTCCCGAAAAATTAGCCTTTTATGATTACATTGGCAATAATCCGGCAAAAGGGGGATTGTTTAGAGCGGGCTCAATGGACAATGGGGATGGAATAGCTGTTGGGTGGTTAGGACACCCTATCTTTAGAGATAAAGAGGGGCGTGAACTTTTTGTACGTCGTATGCCTACTTTTTTTGAAACATTTCCGGTTGTTTTGGTAGACGGAGACGGAATTGTTAGAGCCGATGTTCCTTTTCGAAGGGCGGAATCGAAATATAGTGTCGAACAAGTAGGTGTAACTGTTGAGTTCTATGGTGGCGAACTCAATGGAGTTAGTTATAGTGATCCTGCTACTGTGAAAAAATATGCTAGACGTGCTCAATTGGGTGAAATTTTTGAATTAGATCGTGCTACTTTGAAATCTGATGGTGTTTTTCGTAGCAGTCCGAGAGGTTGGTTTACTTTTGGACATGCTTCGTTTGCTCTGCTCTTCTTTTTCGGACATATTTGGCATGGTGCTAGAACCTTGTTCAGAGATGTTTTTGCTGGTATCGACCCAGATTTGGATGCTCAAGTAGAATTTGGAACATTCCAAAAACTTGGAGATCCAACTACAAGAAGACAAGTAGTCTGATACAACATTGTTTTGTTCCTTTTGGACTTTATTTTCTTTTTGTGATTGGAATTTGCCATAGGGAACCGGATAAATCTTGATTTGAATTGCTACCTTTTCTTTTACTCTTGTTCCTTCTTTTTCTTTATCCGAGAGACGATCCCACATAAACAGGTATGAAAGCTATAATTGTAAACCACGATCAAATCCATGGAAGCATTGGTTTATACATTCCTCTTAGTTTCTACTTTAGGAATTATTTTTTTCGCTATCTTTTTTAGAGAACCACCTAAAGTTCCAACTAAAAAGACGAAATGATTTTTCATTATCTCAATTGAAGTAATGAGCCTACCAATATTGGTAGGCTCATTACTTCAACTAGTCCCCATGTTCTTCGAATGGATCTCTTAGTTGTTGAGAGGGTTGCCCAAAAGCAGTATATAAGGCGTACCCAGTAAAACTTACAAGTAAACCAGATATAGAGATGGCAACTAGGGTTGCTGTTTCCATTATTATATAATTATATAATTTCAAGACCAAAATGGATCTAGGATAAGATCATTTATTTACAGCGGAATGGTATACAAAGTCAACAGATCTCAATGAATAAAAAATAGGATTTATGGCTACACAAACTGTTGAGGGTAGTTCTAGATCTGGTCCAAGACGAACTATTGTAGGGAATTTATTGAAACCTTTGAATTCGGAATATGGTAAAGTAGCTCCTGGTTGGGGAACTACTCCTTTGATGGGTGTTGCAATGGCCCTATTTGCGATATTTCTATCTATTATTTTGGAGATTTATAATTCTTCCATTTTACTGGACGGAATTTCTATGAATTAGATTCACAAGAACCGACTAACTAGTTTTTCAATACAAAGTGAAGCACTTGGGTCTTAGATTTTTAGCCCATTCGATTTTTGTTTGGTAGTTTAGTTCGATCGTGGAATTTCTTTTCTTCTGTATTTCCGGAATATGAGTGTGTGACTTGTTATAATTGATCCTATTGATAGTACAGAGAGTGAGTCTGTCATCTTGATAGAGATGGTTTTACCCCGTCGGATATTTATGCTAGTATCTGGAGCACGGAATGGAATATATAAAATGGATTCTAAAGTATTAGAACTATGATTCATACTTAATATTTAGACCCCGCAACCGGACTTAAAAAATTTTTTCAAGGAGTTAGAAGTTATAATAAATCGAAAGATTTTGATTCTTTCAAACTGCCGCTTATCCCTTTTTTATCAAAGGACAAACGTTTATTTGGATTTTTTCTTATATCTATTCATTGAATAAGTGATGATCCAATAGTTCTTACTCAGGGAATTTTTGGACTTAGATTAAAGGTTTTATTGAATCATCGTGGTTTTAGTATGAATCTGAGGTTTTTTTTTTAATCGATTTTATAGGGTCTTAACAAGAGAATTCCTATCAATAATAAAGAAGACAGCAGTAAACCCACATTACACACAAAAAAAATAAAACAAAAACAAATCAAAGAAAAGAAAAAAAAAAAGTTAAAGAATATTCAAGAGGCCAGTAACGATCAAAATAAAGACGAGTGAGCCGACTTGAGATTTTGGCATTATAACCACAAAGAAGAGCTTTCGGATCTCTATTTTTTGTATCTTCAGAGAAGATCGGAATCATAGGGTTAAGTTAAGAAGTTGCAAACTTTCTATTACACATATCCGTTAGAACCAGTATTTGGGTATTTCTGTTTGAGCCGTACGAGATGAAATTCTCATATACGGTTCTCAGAGG